AAGGAGATAAGTCTCTATTAAAGGGTCCTTTTACATACCGGTTTGATAACACACGCCTCTACAGCTATTAAATATTAACCAAGACTTTGCTTTTCAAAATTAGAGGGCAGTTGGTTATGATTCCTTCTCCATCCAGCACCATTGATTAGCTATCTGATGCACATGGTTAATGAGTAACTTGATGCTTTTCATACTGCACTTCATGTGGCCCATTTCATGAAACACACACACACACACAAACGTATGAAGAGAAAGAGAAAAAGGACTTGACCCAAGAACATAGCCCAGCTGTAAGTCTGAAAGCACTCTTGGTTGTTCTTAAAAGACCACACTCTGTGGTGGTATCCCTTGCTTTGTAGCCAACATTACACTTCAATATGTGTTACTGAGCTCAGCAATCTTAATATATGGTATGGCCGTCCGTCTGGTGTGCCTCATGTCTGTAGTCTGGCCAGAGTTGTAATACCCAGACTTTCCTTTCTCCTATGGTTTACTAGAGCATTTAGGGCTGACACGCTGTCTTCCTTTGAAATATCCAAATGTTCACGGAGTGCTTTGTATGTTTGCTTTTTTAGCATCTGTGTAACTGTTTTACTTTTTATTCGGTTTAGCATTTATACCACTTCTTTTTATTTCAAAATGACTGAAATTGAAGTACTTTCTATTGAATTCTGTCTGTGGATTGGTTTGTACAGATAACTGGTAAAGGGTGTGTGTTTGGTGGGGGTGACCAGATAAGATAATCCATAGTTAAGCAATCCTCTTCAGCCCTTGTTGTCACTGCCTCTGGACTTTAGTACCCAGCATGTTTGCATTTAATTAAACAAAGCACACAGGTTACATCACTCTATGGCTATCAATATCAGATCAGAATTGATTTCCTTTTGCTCAAAAAAAAAAGAAAGGAAAAAAATGCGAACATCTCCACTTCCTTTTCAATTAATTAAAATCTGTGGTGTTCCAGAATGGCTCATATGATTTTTAAAGCACTGCAAACATAATTACTTAAAGATGTAAATAAATGGTGAATGGCCTCAGCCCAAAGCACCAAGTCTTTTCATGTCTGCCCGCTGTGCACAACACAGGCAGACCTGCAGTTAAAAAGGCATTGTTATCAAAATGCATGGCTTCTAATTAACACAGAGCTTACTGTTACTACAGCATGGAGCTCCCCATTAGGGAAAAGCTGATTCATTAATTATTTCTGTTTGCTTTACAGAGCAGTTGATCTTCTATTGCTGCCTGGCTATATAACTCATTTTACTGCCGTGTTTTTATAAAAACCTCACTACCTGTCTTAAGAAAAGAATAAACACCACAAATACTTTTGCAAAAACACAACTCTGGACAGCAAAGACGCTCAATATGACCATTTCAAACTATTTGTAAAGAAAATAGGAATAGGATATGTAACAAAGATGTGGACGGTGTAGTTTCTGAAATTGGTCCCTGAAGGTTTTATACATAAGAAGTCAAGATATTGACTATTCCAGAATTCTTACCAGTTTTTAAATAAAATCAGTTGCTTATCTTGAATTTTGCCTCCTACATACTCTGAGTGTTTGAAAGCTAGCTTTTGTTTGTTCTGCAATCCAGGTATGGCAGTCTCAACACAACCATGTATACATGAAGGTGGAAGTGCCCTGTCGTAATATTTTAATGCACAGAAATATAGGATTGTTTTAGTTGTTGTTGAGGGAAAAACAACCAAAACTGAAATAGCATGTTTTTAGAAAACAGCCCTCCTAGACTAAATATTTGCATTTTTTTGCTTTAATATATGAAGCCTTCCAGCTTGCCTTGCTTTGATGGTGTAGCAATGAATGATAGTTGATGTAGTGTTTACAGTGAGAGTATGTATAGTCATGCAGTCTCATGTTCATTTGACTTGTTAAGGTGAAGATTTAAGAAAGTGACCTCACTAGAGATGTTTACAGGACATGAACTGAGTGGATTGACAGGCTGAGGTGTGGACAGTTGTTGTGCTTTTATAATTAAAACTGTTACAGACTGAGGAACACGGTACGCAAATGAACATAAAGCATTTAAAATGGCACAGAGCTTCTCCTTAGCAGGTGAAAATGAAAACCTTCGTCTTATTGTCTCCCCAGCGATAGCTCCCTTCCCAGCTCTTCTTTTCTTTAATATTGAGTTATTTCCATTTTATTGCTGTACTTCAATTACTTTTTGAGAATGACATTAAGTTCTTTCCTGTGCCGAGAGGTTAATAATTAAATATTGCATTTTGGTGGGAAGGAGAGCCTTTTTTTTTAAACAAACTCTCTTTTTGTTATTGTGCAAGTGTAATATATGCTTTTATGGGTGGCTCACTTTAGGACAGATTTATATTTTTTACAAGTAAAGGCAATGCAAATAAATTCTAGAGGTTTGTTTATGTAAAGAAAACGTGAGGATTATATTCATTTTCATTTTCTTAAATTACTTCACATCAGAAACACATCTGAAAATATTTCCTCTTAGTAGCTGAGGTTAAGTCAGTTACTGACATTTTTTATTAAAATATAAAATGTATCTTTGTTTAAACGAGTCAAGAATACATATTGTTTTTTTAAGATGCATATTTAGTCATTTTAATGAGCATTTTTTTCAATTTAACTTTCAAGGTCAGGTCCTGTGGAGCACCTGTAGCAGCATGCCTGGTTAATACCAGGGAGCCAGATCACTCCTAATTGTTGAATTCCTTGCAGTGTTGTTTCAGTCTTCTCACTCAGGGATGATCGATCCTGTGTGAGCTGTTTGTTTTGAAGGAGCTCGCCCAGAAAGGTGGAGCTCTGACCTCCTCTGTGATCACTCCATATTCATCACACACCTGTGTGAATAGAAATGTGCTGGCGTTTGTTTTTAAAGCCTTGTAATGAATAGAATGCTTAAGTGATCGGTTTTAGGTCAAATATGTAGATAGCAGTAAGACACTGGATGTCTGTTTCTGTTTTGTTATTTGCTGTAAGCGTTCTTTTCTTGCACAGTTGTGTTCATTATGTCCAGTGTTTCTTTCTGTCCTGGGGACGCTTTGATAGGTAGTCTAAGCAGCAGTTTAGGAGGGAGGGTCATATCTGTTGAGGTTAATGGATCAGTAGTTATTCCTTATTGGGAACAGCATTTAGTTCATTTGAAAGTAGGTTCTCAAGCTGTGCCCCGAAGAGCACCTATCTAATATACACAGCCAGGTTTCAGTCAATTTTGCACATTAAGTCAAGCTGTATGGTAATGTATTCCGTTGACATTCTGCTGCATTATTACTTCCTGATATTGTTTCTTGTACTGACATTCCGTTAGAATATTAAACTTGTCTATTGATATAGGCTGTTGATACAGAGTGACATTTCACATAGATAGGTAAACTTAGTGCTTGCTTTCATTGTTAAGGTCAATCCATTTTCTGTTAGTGTATAAAACTGGTCATTCACATCAAATGTGTCAACATGGGGCTGCTCGGCTGCGAGAGCTGGGCATGTGAATCAACACCTCTAGTGACACTTTTCCAAAGGCTGAGATCACTCTCGCTACATGCACCAGGCAAGGAGATTTGAGGAATTTACTGTTATTAAAAACAAAATAACAAAGTACAAATCATCTTGATCCCCTTTTTAAATTAATCCTTACAATCGTCTGTCATGCAAAGAAAGTTAAGTTGCTGTGACTCCAGCTTTTAATCAGCCGTCAGAGAAAAGGATCCATTATCCGAATCCGCTTATCAGAAAGACCGTGGTTGGTGTGAAGGAACACAGCAACACTTAGCCTGTCAAAGAAACACAGGGCAGAGGGTGGAAATACGATCTGGACAGGACGCCAGTTCATCGCAGGACACACACATGCAGTTTCGACACCCCAGGTATCCCATACGGAATTTCACATGAGATGGGAGGGAAGTGGATCAGCTGGAGATAATCGATCCCAGGACCCCAAGAGCACAGGTGCAGCATGGGTGGACCTCCACTTCGCTGTACGACCCCAGAACACAAATGACACCGATAACATTACAGAAAATCAGACTAGCGAGAGGGAGCAGGTGTACTCTGCAAGCACACCTGTCTCAGGACTCTGATGGAAATTTCAGCACAGGCCCTCGTGTTTCTTCTCTTTCTAATTCTTTCTAACTTTCTAATTCTGCTTCAGGCCAGCTGCACGGCCAGCTCCTTACATTTTCTTTGGCTGCGCTACACTTTGTTGTGTCACTGCTAAAATATGTCAACTCTTACAACCACACATACATCTTCTGAGTCACCACATGCTCATATTATTTCAGTTTAATTATATGTTTTTGCAGTCTTGTCAGCATGCAGAATTTTTACCATTATCTTCTGACCTTACATATCTGGAGATCATGTACAATAGCCATTTGTAGTTTTAGCATTTTTTGTAATCAGTCTGTAAATACGTAACAGTGGTGGGGTACAGGCAATCTGGCACACAGTGACCCTGCTCACTCATACAGTTTGGCTGTGAAGGTACAGCATCCCAGGTACTTGAGTCTCTTCTCTGTAAGGGTGCTGTGACCTCTGAGCCACCCACTGTCACAGACAGTACAACCTCTGTTAACACACAGGACTTACAGCCCTAAGAGGTCATTGTTATGGAAATTGACAACAAAATAAAACCTCTAGTCTTCTGCTTCACATCTGTGAGTAATTAATAGAATCCTCTTTCTCAGAGCATCCTCATGTTCCTGTTGTAGGACAGGCATTTTATTGGTCCTGTAAGAAGTTTACAACCCCTGAGGGAAAGCTTGCCAGAGCTTCTGATTCACTCAGACCTTAGGAGAAGTCATGTTCAATGATGTAAGAGTTTCTTGATGGTTATTTAGTGGTGAAGGTAGTTGCACACTTAAGGTTTAAAACAATAGAAAGGTAAAAGGTAATTGAGACCCAAATGTTATTTCTTCACTCATTTCAGATCTTTTCTCTTGCTTATTTCAGGTGAGTGTGTTTCCTAATAGCTGTTTTACCAGGCAGTTATTTTTCCCTTTACTTCCCCTCCAGTTTGCACAAGTCGCTGTCACAGGAGGCCAGCCTGAGGGAGCAGTTGGGCTCCGCGCTCGGCTCTTACGAAGAGGCCCTGCGCTCCCAGGAGGGTGTGGTGTCCCTGGCCGGTCTCCACAGCGACCAGCTCCTGGCCCAGCTGCAGCTCGCTCTGGCCGAGCAGGCAAACATGGAGGCCCAGCTCCTGCAAGCGCAGGAGGCCCAGAGAGAGGCTCACGAAAAAGTTCAAAAGTGAGTTCCTGGCTTTGTCTCCCCTTTGAAAGGATTAGCTGATAAGAGATGGTGTGTTTTTGTTGGTTTTGTTTCTTCTCTTCTTTTTTGTCTTCTCTAACCCTATTGAATTCTTCCATCAAGCAGCCGTGTTAAGAACGAGAGCCTGTTCTGTGCTGTTCACAAGCCTGGCTATTGTTCTCCCCGTTCTTCTCTTTTTTCTGACTTTTACAGTCATGGTTGCACAGCTCTGTTTGAGCTTTTATCAACCTTCTATGCCAATACATTGGTTTGAGAGTTGCAGTTGCCATATTGAGCTGACATGCAGCTAAGCATCAAGAAGAGCAACATCCCTGGGCAGTGCAATCCTTCTTTGACTAACTGGGAAAGTGTTCATCTGGAAGAATCGCCACAAAGCAGTGGCAACATCACAGTCAGTGGCAGCCTATCTAAACAGATGCATTCAGCTATTGTTAATGATTCTCGGGGAAGTGTGTTATGCAGAGGGCTTCCCTGGGTCTCGGTGATCTCAATTTGCTGTGTCCTTCTATATGTCTCCTTCCCAGGAAAGTTCTCATCTTGCATTGATTGGTTTTCCACTGCTCAGGTACATTTCTGTACACACTTGTTTCTCCTCGTTTGGAATTCTCCTACACCTGAGGTGCACTGCTCTTCCCTCTTCTCTTTTGAGTCAGTTTGCTTTCTGAGCTTTTAAATAACTTTTAATTGCAATTCAGCTGTGGAGGAAATTGGACTTTCAGATCTACAGATGGCTTGATCAGTTCAAAATATGAGAATGTAGTGTGAATTTTAATATAGGGAACTGTGTAACTTTCTCGGTCTTCTAAAAACTCATTCACTTCTTAACAAGATAACAAGTATCATTTATAAGAATGACCAAATTTAGACTTTGGATCAGTGTGAATTTTTTTTGCCAATGTAAGTGAATAATGAAGGCTCCTTTCTTTCAGAGCCCTTTCAGAAGTCGAGTGCAGTTGTGGTTTCAGAGAGCCCCGGCAGTTGATATTTGCTGACAAAAAGCCGTTACGCCTTCTCTCAGATGCTCCCCACGCCCCCCACCTCCGATTAAAAATCAGAAAAGTCACGCAATTAAAAAGAAAAGAAAATGTAAATTTTGCGGGCGGTCTCCATGCTGATGATGGCGCACCGTCTGGGCAGTCCTCCCAGATGTATTGCTGCAGCCTCGAAAGAGTCACACAGAGGTTCTTAGCAGAAAGCAAACAGACTTTTGCACCAACTCGACTGCTTGATCTGTTTGCAGGATGAATTAGCGGATGGGAGGCGAGCATCGTAGGGCTCTGGGAAGACTTTCCCCCAGGTTCAGGATAAAAAGCAGAGTTTCGGTATTGTACTTAAAGGACTCTTTAGAAGCATTTCATTTTGCTTCAAAGGCCTTCGTTTTTTTTCTCCCCCCACTAAATGCTAAAAGCAACAATGCCTCCAGAGCGTTCTTTCAAAGCAGTGGCTACTTTGCTTTGAGACGTGCCACATGCTGAGAAATGTATTTTACCAGAAAAGGATCACTTAGTATATCAAATAACATATTTGTTAACTTGTATTGTTGATTTGTGGCAAAAGGCACTTACAGGGTGAGAGGTAACGAAGCAAACATGCTCTGAATAGAATTCACCCTTCTGGAGGAAAAAAAAAATATTCCAGTTTCGTACCTGGCACGCTCTTCAGTCTGTGTGGTCACTTAGTTGTTGAATTATCAGTAGAGCAGTGTGCTGGGACCAAAATGGTACTAGATGATGCAGATGTGCTTCTCTGCGCTAGTGTGTCTACAGGAACAGACGAATCCAAGCAACAGGGCCAGAGCCCTTCTCTGGGGAGATGCGAGGAGGGTCAGTGGTGTTTGCCAGCGCGTTAGAAATATGCCTGATGTGGGCAAGAAGGTGCCATTTCTGTGAACGTAAAATATCGGAACGTTAACCACGGCTTGTCGTGCAAGTCTGTTGTGTGGGATTGAGCTGCACCCTGGGCTGGGTTACAGGGCTAACCTTTCCCAGAAACAGCAGGGAAACGGGCAAGAGGAATGGGAATGAATATGGAATACTCGCACCAGAGCGCAAGGTGACCGGCAGACAGGCTTGTAGCGAGAGACGCGTATGGGTTTTGGGAAGACGCTCTGACACTTCTCTTCGCACAGCTGTGAGAAGAATGTGGCCGGGATCAAGCTGCCTTTCTGTAGTGTTGCTGGCAGAGGAAACCTGCAGGAGAAGGGAATTTAACACGTCGGTGCAAGAGGGCAGCTCCATTGATGGGCTCTGAGCAGAATGTCTAATGACTGAAAGAATCAAACTTGGCCATGAAAAAACACAAAGCCCTTTTCATCAGTTCACAGGCTGCAGATGGGCACCTCAAGACACTGCAGTTTTATTTCAGTATTTCTTTAACTAATATGTGAAGGTAACAAAGTCGGGAAAAACTATCCAGCTCCGTTACTGACAATTTCCATAGATGCCCCACAGTTAAAAAAAAGTTTTTGCTTTAATTAGCTCTTTTTCTGTCCTTGTTAGTGTATTTTCTGTTTCCATTAAGTATTTTCTACATAAGCAGTACATACATCCACCATATTTGTATGCCTTGCTCAGGATATCTGAATATACTGTTTTGTATTATTGCATTATTAACTGTAAGTTAAACTGTAATTATTGAAATGTGTTCGCTAACTTAAACTCAAGATGGCTTTAATATGTTTGCATTTAAAGAACAACATTTAGTTTTTGCACAAGGAATCATACCTGAAAAATGTTTTACAAGGTCAACATAAGCACTAATGTAACCTAACATCTGTAAAATGTGACACTGTTTAGCTTTAATATGATATCTGTGTTTACTTGGTGTCATTCAAGATATAGTTGTTGATTTTTCAGTATCCAGTATCTGAATTGGGATTTATATGTTTTGCGGGCTTTTCCTTGACGTGCATGTTTTGGTTTTAATGCATCTGTAAATAATATTTTTCAAATCCCCCAAGCAGTACAGACACACCTTTGGCACCTGTGCTTTAAAATGTGTCTTTCGTAATTTGGTCAAACATGACCAAATGCCTCATGAATACACGCCATCTATAAAGGAGCTGCAGCGTTCATCAATTAGAGACAAAGTTTTTCTCCCTCTATTGTTCCGAGCCCTGTTTATTTAGCGTTAGTGACCTTACTAAATATTAGTCTTTTCTGCCACGTTTCTCTGGCCTGTGCCAACTTTCTGATTTAGTCCTGAAGTATTCAACAACAAGCTGAGGTTATACAGTACTACCACTAGAGCTACCTTTTCTCGCTTACCTCTGTATGCACAGTATATTTTGTTACTGATAAATCAATATAACCAAGTTGTAATACACAAACTGCCGTCTGCTCCGAAGCAGCTGTAAGCAAACTGTCAGTGGACGCGCGGGTCAGAGGAGTTCTGGATGGCCACTATGGGAAGGCAGCGCAGAACACAGTCTGATTACCTGCTGGAACTGGATGTGCGCCGCAAGGAGCTTTTCAAAGGCTGCAAATGCAGTGGTCTTTATATTCATATAAAAACCCACAAGGTTATAATTGTCTAATTGAAATTAGTAGGTTGTATCTTAATACATATTAGTATGTTGTTAGTTTCATGGTCAAACAGTTATACTGTATATGATTTCTTCTGTTTTATGAATCTACATTATAATTACCTTAAATGTTGTATACGTGCTGATGCACTGAAGGTTTGTCTACATCTAGAAATACTGGTATATACATGTACCTCGCAAATAGAAGCATGACTGCGGGCGATTCACAGGAGATCAGAATAAGGCATTTCTCCATGTACATGAAATGCTGAATTTTGGTATGTTAATTTAAAGTTAAGCATCAGAGGCAAGAAAGGAATTTCTATCATTGTTAATGGTTACAAAATTTTGCATTTATGACCAAGTACACTGAGCAAATGGAAGAATTACCAATAGAATAGTTCTCATCAACCACTTAATCAAAAATCTTTGTAATTTTCTAAATTAATCATATGTCAGGGTGGCCTCAGTTCTCCATTCCACACACTTAATCCCCCACATTAGATTCCCGATCCTCCAAGGCAGAAGCCCTTCCCTTATATTAACATGAACAAGTTCAGGATGGCGGATGTAGTTAACACACCACATAATAGACTTCATCATTGTTATTGAGTTCGGTTTGTCATATCCTGAAGAAGCAGTTTTGAATAATGTCATTTTTGTGTGGATAGAATTAGTCATTTTTCCATTTTATAATCCTTTAAAAAGAAAACAAATGCTTTATTTTCAGACATTCTAGATATGATGATTTGAAAACCATTATTTGTATGGAAAATGTTTTATTTGAATGGTTATTATTTGTTACCATTCCTTAGTTCAAAGATGTAAAAATCAAGGATTTCTACACACAAGGTCGAGTATCAAAATAATGACTTGTTAAGACTTGAAAATAAACATTGCATTTTTTAAGTATCTGAGGTAGAGAAAGAATTCTAGTTTCGGTTCAAGAATAATTTGGTTTTCTGCAATTCAGAGACGTCGGTACCCCTAACGCTCCGGTTTTCTGCTGAAGCACTTGAGTTGTAAAGGGCTGCTGAAATCATGGCAAGAGAGTGTCCAGCCTCACCTGTCATTAGTGGGATTTACCTTCTGCCCACAGTCACATTCCTGTATCTCACTGGATAAGCATGGATTTGATTACTGTCAGGAAACCACACCTGTGTGCGCTAATCTGGGAGTTCTTTACTGAATGCACAGGTTCAGTACGGTACTGGAGTGTTTTTGGAGTCTGAAAACAAAACTGGTCCAGCTATCCAAGACCTGGGCTCTTTCTGCCTTCAGTAAGGATGTGCGAGATTTCTTTCCTCCCCGCTTCCCCAGCCCGTGCTCCCGTCTGTGAGGGTGACACGACCGCACTGTCTCGCCGTGGCCGCTGGACACAGCCCCTTTCAGCCAGCGCCTCATCTTTCTCCCTTCTCTCCGCGCAGGTTGGAGCGGCTGGTGGATGTGCTGAGGAAGAAGGTGGGAGCCGGGCCTGTCAGGACAGTGATCTGATTGAAAGGTCGAGTCTGGAGATGTGGCCACATCTGGCGACCAGGCTGCTGCGTTTAACACTGTGTCAACACTGAAGCCTTAACTCGGCAAACAGTTGTTAGAAGTGGTGCACTCAGTCCACATTCCAAGCAGAGATCAAACTGAATCATAAATGTTTAACCACTCTGCTGCTGAGCTGTTATTCAGCCAAATGTATTTCCTTAAACACTCATTATCTGCACCGCTTTTCATTTTATTTAATTTTGTTTTATTCTTTTTATGCATTGCCTTTTAAAATCCGCGTGGGACAGGAGAAATGGCTCATTCAGCAGTGGAAGGGGTTCATGAACCCTCTCTACCACATCAGGTGTATGTAATGTCTTTCTAGGCTTTCTGGACCTAAACAAATATATTTTGGTTGTTAATGTTGCTATATGAATACATGTTGAGATCCACAAAAATACCGAAACCATTACAAATTGGGATGAAGCATGATGCAACACTACAGGGATGGTCTTTCCTTTTTTGTAAAGTGAGAGTGATACAGTTACTCAAACTGTGTCTCATATTACTGGTAAATCCGTTTGTCAAACCTGTTTTGTAAATCTGTTAGAATGCAAGGATACTGTGAAGAGGCTGTCAGTATCCTGCTTCACTTTCTTGTTTAACGGCAAGACATTTTTTGTTTGTTCTTTTCTTGTTGTTTTTACCACAATCGAGAGGATCATTGAGATTTTAAATGGGGAAAAAAGGCCAGCACTGCCAAGCTCAGGTGTCTGATGATGAATGTATATCACTGTCATGAGGCTATCATGGTGTTCGTACAGTGACCATGCTGGAATAAAGAAACATAGTCTTTATATGTTTTTGTTCCAATTCCAAATTCATTTTCAGTACTACAGCAGTTAAAACAAAATTAAACCATTACTACATCCTGCCATTACTGAATTCTGGATTAAACCAAAACTGCATCCTGTCCACCAGTTGCAGTTCCAGTGCTTTCTGGTGCCTATTTGTGTGCCCTGAGCCTTTTCACACGAGCAAGGAAGCGTGTGATGGAGTATCAGGCTTTTCATATCCAAAGTAGTGCTCTGTATGATGTATTAATTTAGGTCCTTGTTTAAATATGAAGTTCTCTGTTGGACTAAAGCTTTGAGAATGTATTTATTTTCATGTATCTCTTTGAAAACAGTCTTTAAAGTTAAGCATGGTAGGCCATTTAAAGAACTATGTAAAAAAAGGTGACTGACATCTGTAGATGGATTGTATTCTTCGAATTTTATAGCTCGTTGCTGTAACTAAAATGATAACAACCATTTGCAACACTTAACTTCTGATTAATCAGATAGTGCCTTTGAAAGCTATTAAAATGTAATTGAAGATAAAATTTGTCTGTTTGACTGCTGCTGCAGTATTTATCTAAGGTTCAGTTCTCTTAATGTTCTCATTTGGAACAGTTCATTGGAAAAAATCCCTCAATGAACCTGAAGATATTAAATCTGCAACATACTGATAACCCATTTATCTAAACCAAAGAATTATTTTCTGCACTCTTATTAACTGACTTTATTGGAGGTGTTATTGAGGTAATCTCATTATTCCCAGTCTCTTTAAGTAACTACTTGAAGGAATCGGAAAATTGGGATTTTCCAGCATGGCCATTTTTTTTATCCAGTCCTTCCAGTTTCTTTGCATGCCTTTATTTTCCAGTTAAGTGTGTAACAGGGGTATTCTCCATTTGAATTCACATATGCATTATGGGCCAGCATTAAAACTGCATACAACAGTGGGATCAAGCCTTTATTTTCCACCAGAGATTCATTGCAGGGGCTCACTGTTGGAGCAATTTTATCTGAATTAGAGAGATCTTTCTGCGATATCAATATGGACTTTAGTTACTTAAATTGCTTTCTGAGTGTCACAGCTCTACTTCAAAATTCTCCAGAATCCCATTGGTTGTGCAGAGAGTTTTGTCAGCATCACAACTGGTAGCTACATATTTCTAAATCGTTCAACGCCGATGGCTAAGTCCATGAAAGTGCTGAGTTTGAAAACATCCCCTTAGTTGAGGCCCAGTGAACCTTTCCTGTTGTGCGCTACGATCATCCTTCATAAAAGTGCGTTTTCTCGGTGCGAACTGCATCGAAAAGATTAGTTTTGGCACGTATTTTTATAATTCCTCAGGATTACGCGTGTATTTCTTCCCTATATTGCCCACTCAGAGTGTTATACCCTTTAGACAAATTATCTAACCAGCTACTGAGGTTTGTAAATCATTCCACGGAGGGAGGCTGAACATTGGGTTTCTGTTCCCAAGATGTGCACACACAGCGCTATACAGATCAGATAACTGTTTACCGTCATTGTTGCTTAACTTTGATTTGACCCCTAAAACAGGCCGTCTCTTCCCTCTAAGCCACTTTTTACCTACGGCCCTAAAGACCTCTGTCGTTGCCACTTTGCATACTGATAATTTATAAACACAGCGAGGGCCGAAGAAATCAAGCGACCTTTGCAGGACTTTATATACTTAACAATTATTTCCACATCCTTTACGCTTTCCCCTTCTGGTATTGAAGGTGTGACCCTAATGTGGCGCGCTGGTCCCACCGCGTCCCTCGCTCAAACAGCGGCGGCTCGGGCGGTGTCTGTGAGGAGATGATTAATGATCGGCTCTGGCGCAGAAAGCTCGCCGTCATCCCGGCCCGCAGCGCTCCAACAGTCTCTTCCAGTCCGGTGACAAGGGGGTGGGCTTGGCGAGAGTGGGCGCTGAGTTCCCCTCCCATCCAATAAAGCTAGACACTATTACAAGCTTGTCGATTCCACCTCCAACCGTAACCGTGGAGATAGCACAACCTGGGTGTCCCTTTTCTTTAAACCCACAGTCCCCCACAGTATGTTTCTCTGACAGATAATCCGGCCTGTGCTACATACATTGTCACAGCTGCTTTGTCCGACAACTATAGTGAAAGGCTAAAGGTTAGCTTAAATGACAACGCTATTTTTAAAACTGCGTATTTTTGTAGCTTCCCTACTAATATAATTTTACTATGACTGGTGTGGTTATTACCTTAAATGTCCCTTTGAGTGGGTTTTCAGAACGCTTGCTCCTTACGGGGCATCTTGGCTAAAGTTTTTTTTTTTCCTCCGAAACTTACAAGATTGCGTTACATGCTCATCTGGCTATCAAAAGGAGAAGAAGCCTGATTACCCGTTTTGAAACCGATCGGATGATGACAGGACTACAAAACAACTTTTTATACGCTTTAATTAAAAACGTGTTCCGCCAGCCCAGTGCTGAATGGCCTTCAGAGACAAGCGTGGCTGATCCCGTTGCTATAACGACACCAGATCTTTCAGGGCTTTTCTTCTTTAATACACTCCAATCTATACATTCATTTATTCACTACATACACTTTACCATTAACTTAGCTATAGCAACCGATCCATATGTACCTAAGCTTGTGACGTCTGCTTGAAAAAGAGTCTCCAACAATTGTAGAGGTTCTGTGAAACAGACCAGTTTTTCTGAACTCCAAAAAATGATACCGGATCATTGCAACCATTTCTTAAAAATCACTATTCGCTTCTGTGATTATTATTATTATTGTTCTAGGGAGACAAATCATTGAAAATAACAAAATCGTTTGATTACAGTTACATTTGGACCTCATTAAACTAAATTGCATGTTGTGATTGTATTCCTAACGTTTAAGACTTCGATGTTTTACGTCACTGCCAGCACATTTGTTTTGGACTCCTGGAAATGCAGCTCTTCAAACAAGTTGTTTTAATGCCTCTGTTCTACCCTTCGTGTTTATTAACACTTTAAGAAATGCATCTCCATTTTTGTCACATTTTTATGATGCTTTGATTAAAACATATTAACGGCTATTCTTCAATTTTGAAGTGTTTTTAAATTTTAGTAAACTCTGTTGTTCCAAATAAATATGATATACATATTTTCATATATTTTCCTTTAAGTATTTGAATATCCTACGTATTTAAGAAGATACATTTGTGAATTAGTTGAAGAAATAAACGCCCTGTTTCATAATGATGCCTCTCTAATGTGGTTAAGCAGCATTATTTTTTTTTATTGTGTTTTTTAATCTGTTAAATGCAAAATAAAGGATTATTCCTCTGTTTCATGAGCGTAATGTTTCGGGTCTAACTTCAGTGGTTTTGATCATTTTACTTGAATGTTGTGTCTGGACTCCTTTTCGAGGTTGATCCAAAAAAAAGTTTATTTAATGTCGACGAATCTGTTATATTCATTTTTTATTTTCTGCTTTCTCCGTGCTGTTTCTGGGACTGGGTTTTGTAGCTTCATTCTAGCTTTGCGAGTGGATTAATGAAGACACAAAACACGCGATGCGCGGAGTAAAGACGGAGACCACCAACCTGATTTAGGCAATGCATATTAGAAAGACACAAAGCTCTAATAAACTTCTTCCGTATAATTTTTAATGGAAAACCAGCTGCTTCTAAAGCTGATTTCGGATAGAGATCTCTCTCCCTCTTCTCCATAACCCTTTGAAAGCTTCTTTCTTTCGCCTGTGATTCTGAAGGGGTATGGCTTTGCTCTTTTCGTTGGCCAAGCACAATTGTGTTATTGGAGATAATGAATTCAATCCCCATCAAAAGGCATTAGAAGCGCCTCGGCCCTGTAGTGGCTTTTTAAACTAAGAATGAAAAGATAGAGAAGAAAGGTCTACGGGTAGCCTCGCTGATGGCCGCTTTTGAAGTAAAAGGGTTTCAGCATTGTTGTCGAAATTTTTGTCCATAAGGCTGAAGAAAGAGCCGCGGCTTTTGATGGGGATATGAGAAATGCCTTCTAAGTTGGAAAACAAGTAGCCGTTGAAGTCTAGCTTCTGTGCGCTGCCTACTGGTAACATATGTCTCGCATTAATAAAATCTGGCCTAGAACAATTGACAAATTCAAAATGGAAGGAGGGAGACACCTTATTAAAAAGACAAGTGGCCTTGAAGACGTTGAAGATGCTTATCATCATCGCGATCCATATGCCTCTTTTTTCAAGGCGTGCAAAGAGTTGACCATTTGTCCGCCTGTCCATCTAAACAGATAGGGGATGTATACGTATCTTACATTTATTCTGTTGTGTGATATTAATGTGTTGAATTTCTGAAGCTGAATCTATGAGATACCGTAGCTGTTCCGAGATTTTTCGCGGATCGATTAGTCTTCGGCAATTCCCAAGATTCGGTATCCCGAGCCCTGCGCTGGGATTAGATCTTCAGTGCAGCGTTCAGGTTCCATTATTTATCTTAAACGAATAATCGTTTCTACTTACTTAATCGTGTTAGGTGACGCAATTTTTAATCACTCGCGTTGCGTGTTAAACATTAATATTGAAGGGGAATCACGTTTTCTCCTTTAATTTAATGGCTTTTATATGGGTAAATAAGTTTTAAATGGTACACAAACATTTTATGAAAATCTTATACTGTCCATATATGTGCAACTGTCAGAGAGAATATTAGATTTTTCGTGAAAATGTAGGTAACTTTAAACAATATATGCCTTTCAACAAATCAACAAAATCGTTCATTTAACACACGTTTATTTAAATTTGTTTTTCGGGTTAGATTGTCTGAACGTTTGAGGGACAGAAATAATTATAACTTTCTAAACAAAGGGCTCCCACTTTTCTGGGTAATGGTAGTAATCATAAAACTCACACGTACCTCGAATTCGTGCCTTTCCCCTCCCCTTAAAAGTTAAATAATTAAAAAAATATATCTGAATAAGGACAGAGTTTCACTTCTTGCGGTTTACTATGCGGCGAGATATTATTCAGGGCGAAGTGAAAAAAAAAAACATGCGCATTACGTCTGTTTAAACAGCAGTCCTGAATTTGGGAACTTGATTTGTCCAAAGTTCAGAGAATTCTGATACAAACACCTCTTCTGTTTACGCCTCACAAGGAAAATCGAGAGAGACCGATTAATCTTTTATTATTGTACTAATACATTTGGACGTCAAAATATATTCACTGTATATGTCATTGTGTCCAGGTTTGTTTCTTCTTGAATTTGTGTATTTTCTATGTAACTGTGAAACTTCATACAGGAGATTTATTTAAGTTTGTCTCTATTCATTTCCGACGAAGAATGGGTGAAAATTGCTGCCTATAAATGCTTAAATGGTAGGCTTAGACTGATTATTAAATTAGGAACTGGGGGTTCTCCTTACATTTTGGTACAGATACATACACCTGCTGAAATAATAGTATTCACGGCAACCTATTGCACTTGCTGTTTAGGAGGTTCAGTTAATAGAATTGTTTGTAAATTTGTCCTTTTTAACTTTGCCGTTTGCTGGTCAACAAACTCGTCAAACAGCAAGTCTTATTTACCTCTTCTGAGCGATTACTAATCGATCTCGATGAATATTGTGAAATCAACAAAAAAAAACTTCATTGATTTCTGAAAAGTAAACTCTTTTTTTTTCTGAAACACCAAGGAGCCTTTCTGCATTTTTAAACTTAGGAGTATTGTAAATATTAACATTGCCTGTACGAAACTTGGGAGGGTGATGCTTGTCTGTGTGTAGGCACAGAAAAAGTCGGTTATTAGCAATTTCTAGCAGCCAAAAATCGTATTCAAGATGAAATGTTGGTATATTTTTAGCTGTTGTATAAAATAGTTAAGCAAATAAGGCAAATGTTTATGGTGTAAACACTTCCTGTGATATTCAATGTAATGAAAGACCAAGACATATCTAATCGAATTTATTCTTTAGAATATTTATTTGACGTTTTCATGTATTTAACGAACAGCTGATTTTTCACAGAACCATTGATAAAAAAATTAAACATAGGCGTGCTTTTAATTAGACACAAAAATAGGTTTACCCGTGACATTTAAACAAAACAGATAAAAAATATCTGACGCGATCTCGACAGTTAGCTGCTTTAATTGATGAACGACTGTTATTCTACACAGACCCGGGGCAATCAGTTGTATTCTTAATACTGCAATAAATTATGAAATAAGTATATTTCACACTTCCGCTTTGTGAAATAATATGAATTTAATTCAGTGGATATAAACTACCCGCATGCGGTAATGAATTAAGATATTAAATTTAGAAGCAATTACAAATAAACTATCGCCGAGTCTGGATATAAGGTCTTCATCCTGTATTTTCCTAAACAGCGATGAGAGCGAGTCAGGGCAGCTGCTGAGAAACCCTTTGGCATCAGGGTCTCAGTAAATTTCGCGCATTTTCTGTTCGCAGAGTAAACTCCGGCTTCTCTCAAGCAACTGCTGTTGCAAACTTTTGTGAAAGTCCTTAACGGTGGACATGGAGAAAATGTGGTTTTTAAAGACATGCTGTACATAGCCTAAAAAGTTCACATCCCAAAACGCGGACACCTAAATATCCCAGGGCGAAAACCATCTGTAGTTGATGGTCGTTTTCCCTTTATAACAGTTAATTCAATTTAAATATGTTAAAAACGCTGGACGTTGGGAATCTCACGTAAGGTGCTACTTTCAGAGTTGCGATGCGTATTGAGGTTATTTAATGCCGAAAGTGTCACTTCACCTGTCGGACATTTTTTTTTAATTTTCCGATCGTGAATATCAAGCAAAGTGATACGTAAACGACTGCGCTATTCATGAAGTGCTTTGCTATCAAAAATCAACCATAACAATGTCTTGACGGCTTATTCATGAATATTTCCTATAATTTTTGTTTTAAATGCATATATTATCCTCTTTATTCTAAAATAAAAACTGCGTCATTGAAGCGGTATGTACATCACGCTATTTTATGTGAGTTTTTTATTTGTGGTACAAGAGTCAGACAACGAGGTGTTAAATTTAGAAAACGTCTTAAAATCTGTAACAAAAAATGAAATAAATAGTTGCGCCACGTAACTGACATGTGTTGCTAGAAGGTATGCTTGTCATAATAAGTTTTCAAACGTGAGTAACAAACATTCAAACTTTAAAGACATGCTCTGGTAACACAGGTTTTCTAAAAAAAAACTTATTTACCAGAAAAATAAATATTTCATTAAACGTGGGAAAACAAGATTTTGTCTTTACCCGATGATGTGTATTTTTTAATCAAAACTCAACGATCGGTTGACTTCTAATTTTAAAAATAATTCAACCCATGTCCCTTTTAATAACACAATTTATTGATAAAATTGAAACGTTTATCACAAAAGTACGAAACTAGAAAGACAATAAACGATACGCTTTTACACAAACTCTGTGTTTTTAACGGTGTTCAGTCCCTTCTCCAGATTAGACAGCTTTCCTAACTCAATTCACTCCATTTTATTTGCCCATCGGGGGGCAATTACAAGATAATTAAACGAATTTCATGGTTCCTCAGCCAAAGTGTGTGTCCACAAAATACCATGATCAAAGTAAAATCTGTTCAGGTTCAAAGTCCCTTCATGTAAGGTTACAAATAACAAAATGATGGTTTGGCTTAATATGATATTGTTGATTCCCCCGTTTCAAAAGGCCATGCGCAATTTCAGCTCTCCCTGCAGCTGTATAAGCAGTCGGCATTTTCTTGTTTTGTGTTTGTTTTAAATAAATCTTACAGTGGCGAAAATTTTTATTTTTGTTTGGATCGGTTAAGTTTTGTTTAAACGACAATTCTTGAAAACATAAAAAAAGGAATAGTCCGCTTTTTATCACAGCGGCGCCGCTGACGGCCGTGAAAACGATTAAAATTACACTGGCGGCGATTCACGTGGCTTTCAAGAAAGGTGTCAATTAAATCATGATAAATACAGGAAATAAGAAGGACTCGCACACGACCTGTTACTGTTCAGTTATCTTTGCGGTAATGTCCATTAACATGTGAAAAGGGGATCTTTCGCTCTTTTCAAAAGCCTATTTCATGAATCTTTTATCACTTTACCTCCCCAAGTTTATCACCACCAAAAGGATAATTTTGCTGCCGGGATATATAATAAAAATACATCTAGTTTTATTAACACTACTGAGATAATATTGTTTCGTGTAATATGCAATTATTTGTAACGCAGGTCGGGATAAAATAATAATAATTGCAGAAGTGGCGCGTTAAGAGTAAAATTTAAGGAGAACACCTACATGCCTTAAATATATATATAAGATCTTTATTTACATCATACAAGACACTGTGAAATAATGATAATGGTTATATAGATTTTATTTTTTAAAAGGAACATGCAATAAATTAAAACACATTTTGGCATCTACCAAAGTAAATATTTGTAACAAAATACAATATTGTTTTTTTTACGAGAATATGCATGATCCCACAAAAAGAAAGGTCGATTGTAAAATATCACAACAAAGACGGGGGGGTTGCTTAATATAGAAATGTGGGTTTTATTTCAGTTTGTGCATTTGACCACGGTGGATGAAATGCAGTTTCTTAACACAAAATTGTACTTTTTCGAAACGCATATGTGCCAAAGAAACAAAATTATACAACCAACGCATAAAAAATGACAACACAGATGACCTGAAAGGCTGAAACACAAAGATTGTGTGCTTTTTTGTTATTGTTGTTTTTTTTTCATTCAGCTTTTCCAAGAGACCTCACTGACCTTCATTTGGACATATTGCAACAAGGCTGTAAACAAACTTTGGTGCCGTCTACAGCTGGGGGGGGGGGATGATACAAGCTCAAAAAAGTTTTAAATACACCTTTGCAGGGCGTCTGCAATGATTCTGACTTGGGTTATACAATCATTCAAAGGGCAGACCTTTACAGTATACTTTTTACACATACACATTTTTTGTACAATAAAGTAACAGTCCAAATGCACGAGGCGTGTGCAATAATAAAAGTGTGTTTTTCTTTCTCTCTCCAGTACGGAATAAAGCAGCTGAGACTAAGAGGTGTTAAGGACAGGTCTCGAATACACACCTTGATAGTAAGAGGCTTCTATTGCTGAAGGGTCCAAGCTGGCTCGTCCGCCCATTGAAGTACTGCCCAGCGGCAGAGTGGCTGAGATGCCAGACCCGTAGGAAGAGTATTGCAGAGCCTGCTCGTACGCTTTTAAGTCCAGTTTGTGCTGCTGCTCCGAAGAGGACATGAGGTTGTTGATGGAGAAGGGGTGGTTGAAGGAATAGTGGGGATCGCCCTTGAGGTGGAGCTGGGGCTCGTGGGCCATCGAGTGAGGGGGAAGGGGGACGGAGGCCAGCGGGCCGGCCGAGCTGACAGCGGGGTGGCCCTGGGCCCCGCCGGGCTTCAGCTCGCCGGCGGCCGTGCCGCTGCCGTGGTCCATACTGTGAGGGCTGGGCGGCTGGTTTGAGCTGGAGATGGAGCCCGACTCCATCGGGCCGGGTTTGGCGTTACTGCTCTCGGTGGAAGGCGAGCCGGAGCCCCCGGGCTGCTCCTTCCTGCCGTCCTGAGGCCCCTTCCCCCCGCCAAGCCGCTTCTCGCACTTGAACCGTTTCTGCCTGCGAAGGTAGCAGCCGTTTTCAAACATATTTCCAGAATCCGGGTGCAGGGCCCAGTAGGACCCTTTGCCCGGTTTGTCCGGCGACCTGGCCACTTTGACGAAACAGTCGTTGAAAGAAAGGGAATGCCGTATGGAGTTTTGCCACCTTTGCTGGTTCTGCCGGTAATACGGGAACAGGTCCATTATCCACTGGTAAATTTCGCTCAGCGTGAGCATCTTGCTCGGCGCCTGCTGAATAGCCATGGTTATAAGAGATATGTAGGAGTACGGCGGCTTGGCGTGCGGGTAGCTTCTCCTGAACGTTTTGGTTTCCCGTGCCCTGTTCAGGTTGGGCTGAGCGTAGGCCATGGGGCTCATGGCTGGGCTCATGCTGGAGTAGGGGGTGAGCGCGTTCATGGAGGCTTGCGGCGCCGGCATCGCGTTCATGTTCGACGGGCTGAGAGCAGCGCCCATGGCCGATACCCCGCTGGTCATTCCGTTCATGGCGCCGGGGCCACTCGGGGGCATGCCCGCCATGGTGCCGGGGCTCAGCCCGGCTCCGAGTCCGGTGTTGGCGTAGGACATGTTGAACGAGCCCGAAGTCATGTTCCCGCTGGTGGACATGCCCATGTAGGTGTTCATAGAGTTCATGGATCCGAGACCCGCGTTCATGCTGCTGTTCGGCACTGATGAGTAGACCTGTACAGCAAAGGAAAAACAAATATTTTTACATATAAAGCCCCACATTCAAAACCGCAGGAACCATTAAAAAAAAATAACCAAATCGTCTTTAAACTCGTATTTTTTAGGTTAAGGAAAACAGCTGTAGGCTAGTGCGGTTAACTCGTTTGTTTCACGTTAATGTTATATTGCGTTTAAGAATTAAAGATATTACTCAGTTCTTAAGTTGTTTGTGTAACCTGCACTTATTCTAAATTATCTGTTCAGACATGGCGTGTTGAACAGAAAACATTGATAACTACATGAAAAGAAATACATTACAATCTAGGGTAAAGAGGCGAGGACCAAGAACAGAAGTGTACAGAACTGAATGGATACATTTGAAATTGTTTTGCATATCATGTATAAATGTGGGGATACATAATAAGCACAAAAACGTCTCTGTCGTAATTTGTTCATTACTGAATAAGTCTTCCAAAAATATTACCTGTCTCCTCATGAAAAATGGCCTAAGGTTTCACGGTAAATTATTCAAAAACTACGGTGATTTATTTACATTTACTGAGCATTGCATTGAGAGATATTGCAAATGCTAGGACATTTTAATATAAGAATATCTGAATAATACTGGATGTGGATTTGCATAAACGCTAGTTAGATGCTAAATTATATTTGTTGATGGTCTGTTTCTTCCATTATGTTGTTGAAACCGTTACATATTTAGTGAAGATAAAATCTCTGCTTTATTTGGCCTGTTTCATTTTTAGATCCCTGTGAATTTCAACTGTGTGAAATCGTGTGTGTGCATATATATGTGTCACTGCTTCCTCTGCTGATAAAATAAGGTTAATTATCTTCCTATTGCGCACTAAGTATAGCCACGGTGCTGCGAGCCTGTTTTTATTATTTGTTGACGTTCCTCGATAACTTGTCTGTTAACAAATTAGAAATGCTTGTCTTCAGGGCCATAGAAAGTCACTCAGAGATCCGTGATGTTCAGGATCTGACCTCACTGCTGCCACCAAGCGTTTCCACAGAATTGGAACTCAGGCACGCTGGATTTGAAGTAAAAGCACACATATACAGTGTGAAAACTGAAGTTTTAAAATGATTCATTTAGCTCAGACACCCACAACTTTACCCGGAACCCCAGAGTCTAATTGTTTTTACTTGGTGTAACTGGAGAAAACAAACTAGTTTAAAAAGAAAGATCAGTAAAAAAAAATCATTTTAGTGAGGAACATTTCAGTTCTGTCTCTTTTTGACATTACTGATGCTCGGTTTTCTTTCTAAGCCTCATTAAATTTTGTTTCTATTTCCAAATAGAAAAAAAAATACTTACCTCTTGGGCTTCAGCGTAATAGCTGCTCCAGTCTGGAGTCTCGTGTCCTTCCATTTTTACTGTACCCAACATTATGGAGGAAAGCAGCAAAATGACACCATTCAAACTTCAAACCAAAAGTTAGAAGGATTCCGTTCAAGCGGTTCGTTCTCAATAGCCGCTCTGTGCAGCAGGATGGTGGAGGAGTGGGTAAGCGCTGAATCTGGTGTGAGTTAGGAGTTTGGCTCTCGGCTGTTACGTAGGAGCGGAACAGCCCACCTCGTTTTTCATTTGTCCAGATCCCATGTCTTTATCTTCGCAAAGGAACACCTACAGCTCCGCCAGCACACCTGCAGCGGTGTGTGGCTCGCTGCTGCTCCGACGGGGGTGTCGGCCCTCGTATTGCATTGAAAAACAAGACTTGAGTTTGTAAACTAGATCAACTACTTTGGACGGGCAGCGAAACAATACGAAAGGAGCCGGGAGCCGGATTGTTTATCACGATCAAATGAGAGAATAGACCTCATACTCCAATCAAGGGAGGATTAAATACTTTTCAGTAGAAGCTAATTTACATTGAATGGACAATACTATTTCTTCACAATTACAAGGCGGCAAAGATATATATCATTTAGAAATTAATTTTTAGCAAAACAAATGGACTCGAGTCTGTTATGAGGCATTCGCTGGATCTGTGTATAACTGGCGAATATGCAAGCACTCGTAATACAATGTTTAGTAGGCTTAACACACACACACAGTGGGATAGAGGTTTTCATTTTTAATCAAGGAAATTCTTTATTCGACCATGTTCTTTTGGGTTTTCGGAATTGGAAATGGGACCTTTTAAATACGCAGTGCCCGAAAAGGCTTGGTTGTAGTGTCTTGTGTTTGCTTCTTTTGTTTTACACTTAAAAGCATGTATACAGAAGGGCAAAACCGCAAAAAGCCACGTGAACGTCAATGAAATGGAAGTACCGCATTGACAAAAAGATCAAATTCCACGTTTAATATCCAAAGAACAATTCATGCTTTTTAATTATTACAGTTATCTGAAATGTACACTGCGAGGCACTATACAGTTCTCAGTGCTGCCTATTGCAAATATTAATTTAAAGCAGTTAATTTATTAGGTTTCTCTATTTTTATAGTTGTCATTTTGCATGGTAGAATACCCTTCTTTTTCGATACTACGCATTTTTTAAACTAAAAAATAAAACGATGTATTTTAAATATCACTAGACGTCTTTAAAGTTAATATAGTGTTAACTGTAAAACAAGCATTAAACAATATTATAACCAAAGCGTTTTAAAGACTTAACAGCGCCTCCTAAAGCAAAACAATCTATCTAAAACGCACCAGAAAAGTGTTTTTTTTTCTTACTATTTATAGTCTCGATATTAAAATCTAATGCCTTATAAACTGAATGGACAACTATCGCTCCGCACAACATATTAATCATCGACTTTTAAAATATGAGTTAATACGTTAATCGAGGAACAATAAATTATTTCTGCAATTTGGGTTTGCAGGTGTGTAGCATCATTTCTGACTAGGACACAGCAGGGCCGAGAGGCCTTCCGCGGACAGAAAGAGAATTTGGGAATGTCTAAATACTCACATAATGAAGCGATTTCAAAACGTCTAGCTTCTTACATCCTATAAAGTCTAAACATAGAGTTTTCTTACGGCCGCTTATTAAATACGAGTTTTAGGCAGCGTTTTTTTTTTTTTTCAATTTTTTTTTTTGTTTTCATTCATGCTGAAAACTGTAGTTCTTTCGATCTCAGTAAGCCTGCTGTACCGGAGGCGGCCATCGTGTGCTTGGAACAGGCGTCGTGTTAGCAACCTCTCTTAGTCCAAATCTCCTGCTTTGCGCACACTGTTTAACATAGGACACGGGGTTCTCTTTCTACTGTAAATCAATTTATGTGTGAGTAACAAGGGTGATTATCACCCGGGATAGGATTAGCTCCCAATGATCTGACTGTATGAGTGTGGAGAATCGATTTCAGCAAAACAAATAAAATATTTACAAGCCAGGCTGCAGATGTTAATTTTGCAATAGGCCTGGTAGAAACAGAATAACATATACTAAGTAAAATCGGGCTGATAGGTTATCCATGTCTATTATTTATCTGAATGATCGCAGACTTACGGTTGTGAATGTTTTATTTTATCTAGTTTCTTCTGCATCTGAAAAGTATGTGAAACCAAGTAATTTAAGGTATCGAGTTCGTTCCGTAGACTTGCGACTACGTGGGTTCTGGCGCTTGACTTAACAAACGCATCAAGAGCCGCAGAATTAAGTTAATATGCGTAAAAAAAAACTTCACGCAGCATATAAATCAAGGGATTTAACAATAGTTTTGTGCGACAATCCACAATACGCTTTTAATTAATTCTAATATTAAAGACAAGCTTTTGTTAAACAAATTAGGCTAATACTTATACATATTTAGATTTCCTAGTGTAAACATTGGAGGGCCCTGGTACAGAATAAAAATAAAACTGCCAGGCCTCTTTAAAACACTGGTGTTAAATCTAATTAAGCTAACAAGCAACCTTTATCTGGTTATTTTAATGGCAATCGTTTAAATAATATTCTAAGTGTTATCAGAGTAGGACAATACTGTTTTATCGTGGGCATGCCCAATGTTTGAAAGCGCAGTGTGCACTGAAAATCTTAATAAGACGCTTAAAAGTTCTTCGTGTTACAGAAGAAATATTTTGACCGCAATGCGACCAGAACAGAGCACGTAAGGTGAGGTTTGTTTCTGAGCGCTTTGAGGACCGGTTCACTGACTTAGACAAGCTATTCACGGAGACATCCTAACACAGGCTCAGGGCTTTGCTACATATGAATCCCAGGCGGCAACTTCGTACTGAAACTTCACAAAACCAAGCTCCACTTAGCAAACTGTTTATTCCCCGCCCAAAGTCAACCCATTCGTTTAACTTACCGATACGTTTATTTCAACTGAACTGGCTGGGACAGCGCAACAGGCGGTAGTGCTTATTGATGTTATTTCTTGGTTGCGGTTGTGTTTAGTGTTGTTTTTTTTTTGTTTAGTACTGTATAACGTACGGCTTACCATCATAATTGATTAGGCGAACATAACATAACAGCCTCAATAACGGCAAGTCATGATATTATCACATTCCCGCTTTCACGTATTTTGTCGTCAAGATTAAACATCGAATTTTTATTCTTTATTATGGTTAAAATAACGACTAACTAAACGCAGTACTTAGGTCAATCACGCGAGTCATTTGTTAGCGTATGTGTGAATATACTCTTGTCTAAAAATGCATCAATACATCTGTAATCCCATATAAAAATGTTTGAAAACATTTGATTGTTGCTGTAAGGTCACGCATTTTGAATTTACTTGTTTAGAACATCCATTTATCCCAATTCTCCTCCTCCTCGTTTTCTGTCTGGAATGATAACAATGATGTGAATAGGTCTATGCTCTTATTACATGTAGTTCACTGTAGTCAGGATGTCCTCTTGACCTCTTCAGTGCGTTGTAAATGTTGCATTTTATTAATCATTCTGCAACTTCGAAGGGAACGTGGAAGAAACGAAGCAAACGGTTTAATAATAATAAAAAAACGGAGTTTCTGTTCAGTAACAACCAGTAACCACACTGGTTCAGTAGGAGGCACGGAGTGGGTTGCGTCTCAGATAGTGTGGGCTTCGTGTGAAATCGCCTTCCGTGGCTTCTTAAACGCGACCGTGTATTGGATAAAGCGGTGAGAAAATGGGTGAATGTTTCGTTAAAAAACTCACATATATTACCAATAATGTCGATAGAGAGAAATAAAGGTGTCAGGACAATATAACACGTTTTCTCGATTCCAATCGAAACGGTTTTTTTTTGCGATAATTTTTGGAAAGTCCTTTAATTGGCAGTGTACGTGCCAGTACATATTGTTGCTTGATTTTATTCTTTCAAACTTGGATTGTTAAAACACATTAACTTAAAAAATAAAACTGATAATTATTCGTTGCTAACAAATTGGATTTCTATTAAATAGAGTAATAAATGACCTCTGTATATTAGAGCTGTGAAATCTTAATAGATCTGGTGTTTTAATGCCAATTTAACTAATCACGCTGAAGTCTGAATACATTTTTGAATATTTAGAAAGACACAGAGAAATGTTCGGTTTAAGTATAGCCCAAGAACTTCAGTAAAAAAAAAAGAAAGAAATTTGCGGTTAATTTGTCATTTAGTACAGGGGTTACCCGTGACATGGCCTTTCACGCTGTGGTGTGACAGGAAATGTGGACCTTTATGATGAATGCCCAGATAATTAGCATAATTTAAAAATGAGTGACTCAATAAATAAAACACGAGATTAGGGTAGGGTTTTCAGATCCCTCCTGCGTGCCCAGGGCTTGGCGCGATTTTGAAGATCATCGACTGTCCGGTATTGCAGAAATCAAGCCGATACACAAAATGGAAGCAGTAGGCCTTTTATAACTTTTTATTAAAAAAAAACATTTATCTCTGGCATAAATTATATATTTGAATTATTTTTTTCAGAACAAGACAAGTCCCAAACACTCATCCACCTGATGAGCTTTTTCAGCACCACGGACAGGTCTTCCAAATAAATAAAACGCCAGTCCATTATTCTGTTATTTTTTTTTTAAATGTCCAGACGAAAGGTTTATGTTTTCGCATTTAAATTGATTAAGATATAAATTCGATTACAGGAACCTGAAGCAAATAGGTTAAGAAAAACTGGAAACTGTCACCATCTCTCTGGCGGTATTTATATCGGAGCTTTGTCCCCTATTAAAAAGGCCTACATTTTAAACCGGTCTTTTTCACCGCCCACGATTAGCATATCCCAAGGTTATATATCTTGGTATTTATCTGTTTTCTTATTTTTTTACATTATTACATCATCTACAGAGAGAGGAGAAAAACAAAACAGTCGGATGAATTTCAAACGTAGTATTCCGTGAAACGCACAGCAAATTCCTGTAAGATGTATTTAGAGTTTCCGACGCAGTAGTGGGAAATATTTTGTAATATTCACCGAACCCTCGTTTTTTAAAAGAGCTGAAGGCGTATTTTAATGGGATCTAGAAAACAGTGTCTTTTCCTCGTATCTTCATTTTTTTTGGCCATAGTCCGAGCTCCTACTGTGTTCTCAGACAGTCCGGACTAATCAAACCTTTCCACGTGGGCCAGCGCCAGTTGTCTGGTTGCTAGGAGACTTGCTGCACTTTCTGTTTACTGCGCGCAGACATCCAGGCCTCCTGGACAGAAAAAGGCATAAAATGTAGTTATACATGCCGATACAGACGTACGCGGAGAGACATAACTTTAGGGGACGCAAGCACCTGACGATTTCGAATTACTGCCCGAAAGTACTGCGCTTTTCAATGTCCAGGTAAGGTACTTTACAGGATTGTAAATATTCTTGAAGGAAACTGAGAAATTTGCTTTGATGCAAGCACTGGAGCGAAAAAAAAAACCGAAGAAGGAATAGGAGCCACGCAAGCTCTGCACCTGCGACAGTACCTGCTAATGCCGGAAAAACATTTTACAGTAATAGAACAGTATAAGAGGTAGCTTAATCATAAACCAGCACAAGCTTTATTTGGATCCGGAGCCAGAGTTTGCGTTGTTAAGACTGGCGCAAAATAGGGACTAAAAATACGATTAGATATGTTTGCTTAATCCCCGTTTTGCGCCGGTGCTTTCCGGCTCTCCCGCGACACTGAATAGGATGAAAATGGATGGATGTTTACTTAACTTTATTTAAGATGTAAACTTTTGCCAAAGCACGACCTGCTTTGATTTTCTTGCCCTAAATTAATCTATGAATATGCGTGTGGAGATTATTTCAGTGCTGCTCGGCATGTTCTGAATCTGCAAACTAGAGGAAACAAAGATTAATTGAAGAGGATGCACCCACAGTAGCCACAATATTGGGCAATGCAATGGACAGATGTGGGGGAGATCTCTGCTTCTCTAACTCCAGAAACGCTTCTTTGATACAATTGCAAGCTAAATATTTCTTATGCATTAAGAAAGGAAAAGTCTTGGTTGCTGTTTTTGGTCAGTAAATTGTTAACTTGCTGAGACAAATGTTTTCAAGAATAGTTATGGGAAAAAGTATTTATAGACATATATATCTGTACAAACATTTTACAGGATTAATTAGTAGATAAGTACCAGAAAAAGTACCCAACTGGAAATACAGTACAGTACAAACTCAGCTAGACTGTGAAAGGCATTAAACAAGTGCAGAAAACACATGTATGTAGTCAAATTAAACAAGTACTATGTTTTAATAAAGTGCTTGAAAACAGTTGCATTAGACAGCTGTAGACTGTAACTCATAAAGGAACAAATAAAATGAAATCCAAATGCTTTCACATGGCTATTAATAATACTACTTCTTCAACTGCTGCTACTAAATCTCTATATTTCTGTGTCTTCAGGGGTATAAGGCTAGAAAAAAACAATTTAAGTATGGCAGGAAATCAGAGGAAGCTGCTAAGCCATAGTGAAGAACTGAAGCTGAGAAAGGAGCTTGAGAGCTTACACAAGCAGTCTCAGCAGGATTTTCTTCATTTCAAGCAGATGATCAGCAATTCTTATCGAAATATGAGTTTCCCGACTGTACTGCTGGATTCCTCACCAGATCAATCCCATACGACAAACACTGAAACTCTCAGGGGACTTCACAGTCATCAAAGTACCCTTGAAAATAAAAGCACAATTATTTCTGGTAAGTTGTTTGGCCCAGACAATATTCAGGTAGGCATTTTGAAATCCCCAATTGCCTCACCTCCAAAAGAACTGAAGAAGGAAAGTGTCCAGAACCATGTGGCTGGAAGTAAGGAGGCAAATCATCATGTACCTGTTATGAGTTTGCAAAGCTGCCAGAAAGAGTCTAAATATACTAGAAATAAAAGCCAAAACAGTGCAGCCCTGAAGCCCGCTATTGCTCAACAAGTGGGAACTACAAAAATTGTTTTACTGTCAAAACGACCTGAGCCACCTCAGAAACCCAAATCAGTACAACCAGTGACTCGAGGGACTCGGACCAGAGTACGTGCTCCGGTGACACCTGCTGCAGGAGAGTTGGGATCAGCTACAATGAAAAACCAGCTACATAGGAACAAGCGAAGAGGGACGAGTGTAACAGTTCCGCAAGTCTTGAGCTCTGACAGTAGCGATGAGAGTGAAAATAATGACGATTCTCACTCCGAAGACTCTGACGAAAGTGTGCGCTCAGAAAGTCACCGGAAACACAGAGGAAAGGCTGGAAAGAAGAGGAGGAAAGTGGGGACGGAGAGCCATCCCTCTGCACGGCATCAGCAGCCAACATCTGTTGACAATGGAAACTCTGCGAGCCGGCAAAGCACCGTGGGATCCAGCCACGCTCATAGTGTGAGGTCTGCTTCAGAGCTGCTGGAGGAGGCTATAGACATAGCTAGAACAGATGCCTCAGTGAATGAGAAATACTTCCAGCAGAGACAGCCAGAAGGGTCCACGTTAACAGCAAAGACACTGGTTAGGGACAGTGCAAGAACTGTGGATGAAATATTTGCATCTCTGCAGTCCGGGAACAACACAGACTCCCTCTCGGCATCGGACCAGATGATCAAAGAGCTCATGGAGAGAGTGCTTGGCCACAGCTATGGTAGTGAATGTGAGGTAAGTCAATTGGATCAAGACAGGCGCTCAGGTCAACATCTTTTAGAATATGATATTACTGCGTGTTGTAATAGAGAAGATAGGAATAGGATACTGTTTCTTTTCAGTGCTTTTTGCTTCTTAATCTGCTGAGGATGACTTTTACATTGTGAGTTGTATGCTTAAATGTTTAGACTGTTGGGATGTTTTAAAAGCTTATTGTCTCTGTTTTGAGAATGGAAATGGTTTGTTTTGGAAATCTAAATCAAAAAGTTAAGCTGTTTCACCAAAACAGAAGACAGTATAAACCAATAATACGCTTTTCTATATTTCCTTTGAAATTTACAGTGCATACACCAAACATTCAAAAAATGTACGTCCTGCAAGTGGATTGCTAATTTCTTTCTTATGGTCTCGCACTTTGAAGGCAAATAATGTCTATACCATTTTCTTTTTGAAAATCCACAGGAAAGTGTTTCAAAAGAGGATTCAACAAATGAATCAAAGCTGATAAAAAGTGAAGGACCTGAAAGGAGTGAAGCAGAAGATTTAAAGGAAGATGTCGATGGCAGGCCAGTGCAGGTAATTTAAACATTAAGTGTGTGCTGCATATTCTATAGTGAATAATTCTTCAAGTTTTCATGTTACTGCACAGCACCTAAATAAAGACAAAAGTATTTAATAAATATTTTTTTAAATAGATAATGTGTTATTATTTATAAAGTGATTAAAAAAACAACAGTTGAAGGGTGGTTGTTTTTTTCACGAAGGTCACTTTAGTGGTATCACTATTTCATTCAGACTGTAATGCCTATCATTATACTCCACTAATACAGGACTCTAAAATCACCAGCTGCTCCATTACTCCCCAGAGCTCTTCCTAAATGGCAACTCAAAAGTTTAACATAAAAGTGAGAACATATTCGACAGGCATTATTTTCACAGGGGATAGCTTTCTTAATTAGTTACCATGCTGTGGTGATTCTTATGTTGTCTTGTTAAGCCTAACAGCGTCCTGTTCATTATTTGGTTCGAGATCAAGTGATCTTTCTGTTCCTGCAATGCTAAAATTGAATATTAAGTAAATATTATTATATTTAGACTTGTAATTATTATTTCCAACCTTATATACTGTAGAAGATAGTTATTTAATTCAATTCTGGTGGTTACAAAGCACAAAAAATGTTAAAATTACAGAGTATTAGCACAACACTTGAACTGACAGATCGTGACTGGCTGCTGAAGAAAATACAATTGCAAATACATCAAGTGCTATGATTTCTAATAGTTACACATATGTGGATTTTTTTGTCATTGGAACATTCTCCTTTCTCATTTTGTGACAAAGAGTGAAGTTCAACAGATAAAAACAAATCAGAAAATGTTTCTATCACTATCATTTGAGTTTCTATCATTAAGTTTTAACTTAATAGTTTGATTTTGATGTACAAAATTGACGGTAGGTAATGAAGATACACAAGAATGTTCCTCTAACTCATAATGTTCCAAAACAGAAAACCTCTTGACTCACAGTAATTTATTAATGTTTAATGTTTATTTTGCCAGACTCCAGATGCGTTAAAAGATGACATTTTACATCAAAATATCCCCATGAAAATTATTCAGAAAAAAGATCCAGCTGGAGTGTCACCAGTTACACATATTTCATCTGATGTTTCCTTGGCATTCAAAGAAGGCTCTTCCCAGATTATGTCTCCAGAAGATTTTTCATTCGGCCAAGAGGATATTAATATTAGCGGAATAGAGCTTCCTAAACAGGTATAGTTATGTCATGTTATGTCATTTGCCAGACCATTTTATACCATAGGTACAGTTATATGATAATTAAATATTTCAGTGTACTACCTAATGCACTGGTTAACATTTCAATAAGTATGCTTTGCTTTTCCTTTATGGGAAAAATACATATAATTTTTATATATCTAGTTTGGAGATATTATTAAAGATTTCTGTTGTTTTGAGTTTGTAAAATCCTATTTGTTGTTGTTGAAGGTGACATATTCGGATATACTTCATGTGAAGGGACAGCGATTGTCAGCCACAGGCGAACAGCAAACAGCAATATGGAAAAGTGAACCAATGGAGCACATTTCCTTTTTGGCAACATGGACTCCAAAACTTCAGTAATATTTTAAAAACAGTACTGTTTATTTTCATGTGGATAATTCAAACGTTCTTACAACTATCCTTTTCTCATTTGAATTTATTGGTGCAAACACACATCTGTAAAGACCCCTCTTCAGTTTAGGTAACAGAGCTCAAATATATTCGCGTAATAGATGAACAGATCTGATGAGTCATTCTGTTTCTCCTTCGGACTTCATTTCTCGTTAAAAACTTTTTATGCATTTAAAATTTAAATGGCAAAAAAACAACAAAGCATATTGTATTAATCTGGCTTTAAACCCTCAGTCAGGTTAAGGGAAATTGATGCAGCATTATCTCCAGCAGAATCTTAAGGCAGTGTTTTTAGAGCAGAATCACAAAGCTGGCTCATACTATCTAGAATCGCTGGTTGCAATAAATGACCTGTGGAACCTATCACTGTGCAATCTCCTCTCCGAATTGGGCACTACCTTGTCGGCTGCCTGCCAGGAGCCTCTGAAGCTTTTAGTGAGGAAACCTTTTTGCAGAGATTTACAAAGTTTCAGTGATTCTGTTAATGACTGTGCTGTCATCATAACCTACAGCCCCTTTGCTAGCTTTCTGTTATAGAGTGTGTTCGGGAACAAGTCATTACTCAGCCTAATATACCTCAGGCTCCAATTGGTCTGCCTGGAGCCAGCTTGCAGAGAGTTGCCTGTTATGACTCTTTCTTGTGAATGGCTCTTTTACAGCCTGAAAGTGGTGAGCCGCTTTGACACACCTTTTCTATTCTCTCCGCCCTTTCTGAGGTTAAAAAAACCCTTTTAATTATTAGCTTTTGTAGCCTGTTGAGGTCAGTGAAAGGTTTTCAGGATACGGAAGAGAGCCTTTATAAGGAATTGCCTTCAGATTGTAAACGGATAGCACTCTCAACTGAGTAGCTTAGAGAACATGCTCATGTTAGAAGAATGCTCTAATTTATGAAATAGGCCAATTGGCATTTAGGTGACCCTTTGCATGCAGTTACTTATCTGCTGGAGCCTGTGGTTCATTTATAACCAACATGACAATAAATCATTGATTGATACACGAAAGTGAACATGTTAACCTCTATAAATTGTTACTGACAGTTTAGCAACAGAGCAAAAGACAGGAATATTTTTTTAGATTGTCTTCAGCATATTACATGAAAGGGCCACACACACAGTTGTGCCTTTGTTTGTCTTGTGTTTCAAAGGATGATGAAATGTTAAGAGGAAAGACATTTTGCACAAATAAACCTTTAACTTGTGCCAATACTATAGCAAAATGTTTTGCAAACAGGGCCAGCAGTCCTTGCTGCATGCCATATATAAAATTTGTGAGCAGTGTAATTCACATACGGTTAAGTGAAGTGAATTTTAGACAGTTTTACTTACTTTCAAAGAGCCAAGAACAATGGTTTCATTAAACATAAAATATGATTTAAACATAATTTCTTCCAATAATGTTCCTTTTTACATTTTAAGTTCCCAATGTGCTTGACTTTCTTGTGTGTTTTTTTAGAGAATTTCTGTTTTCATAGATTATTTTAGTGTTCTATACAGTTCCTGAAACATTAATAACTGTCTTTAATTTAATTAATGAAAACAAAAATGAATATTATTAGAGAATAAGTAGTAGGTTTATTCCACGCTGAAAAGAGAAGAAATAAAACACAACGTTTCGGCTGTGGAGTCTTCTTGACATCAGGTGTCTTGACACCTGAAGAATGCTCTGGAGCCGAAACGCTGTGTTTTCTTTCTTCTCTTTTCAGCATGGAATAAACCTGTTACTTGTTCCTTTGCAGCCTTCAAATGCTGACGCAGCTACCCACCTGGATTATTAGGGAATGCTATGTGAGTATGGAAGTAAAGAGCTATCATTTTCTATTTTGTCTTTTCCCTTAACAGGGCTAAGGAGTATAAAACCATCCACCACCTCTGTACTCCTCCATTTAGCCAAGTTCTGCCTTTGGGTTTACAATTGGCTTCTCGGGCTTTTCATACTCCAAGCAAAATGCCTGCAGGTCCCTGGATTTTTCCACAGGTGGCAGCACTGAGTCTCTTCACAGACCAGGCAGAGAAACACAGGTAGAGAAATGCAGTTACGTTTTGCTTAATCTCCCATGGAAATGGAAAACAACAGCCAAGACAGTACACCCTTCTGTGATCAAATATGGATCCTTAAAAGTGAGAGGCAGAGAAGGCTTTTACTTAATCAGTCAGTCCACACATAAAAGTTTACCCAGCACGCTTCTTTGTTTGGCATTTCATCACAAGCAGAGTCACACTTCAGGGCCTTGATGACCTGTCTGCCCAGCTCATTTCACTTGTGACAGGGCTACATACAGCTCTACCTGAGTGCCCCACCTATCCATTGTCTTTTTTTTTTAGTTAATCCTTGGGAAAACAAAACTCTGCCAATGCTGAAAGGTCATGAGGAGGGGAATTAGGGAGCCATTCCTTAACAAAGTGCATATCACTCAGAGGGCAGAGTGTTCTGAAGATATGGATGAATTCCTTAAGACAGATAATGTCTCCACCTGGTCACATGACCAGCACCAGCATTGCTTAGTTGTACAGCTGACTGTCTTCAGAAATTGTTTTTTGGACTGTTGCAAAAGCAAGCAATCTTTCATTGATTTTGTTGCCTTAATATCAACTTCAGTATAAGATACCGTAGGCAGCATTTATTCAATTAAATCATATTCCAACAAGACATTTTAATCATGGGGTCCATTGGCTGTTACTTCTGTAATAACTCCAGCACCACCAATGTGCAGCCCCACCTGGATGTTTAAAATGCTGCTAAACCTGAGCAAAACATTAGCAAACGTGGGTACTGTTTTTTTTTTATTTTCTACTTATTAATCTAAAAACTGCTGATGGTAATATCAAATTATCAGTTTTGGGGCTTTTTGAGACAGGTATTTATCAGATTAATAGTGTTACTTACAACTGTTTAATTAATTTAAAGAAAAGGATACTTACTGAAGTACTTCAGTTGTGTCTACCATAGAAAGTACAGTCTCACTTCAGGATCTCTTCTGAGTGCAATACAATAATGTATACATCACGTTGCCAGCACAAGTTAAAAACAAGAGCTAAAATCTGTCTCTTGTCTCTTGACATAATCTAACCACATTAAACAGCTCAGAATTTCATGAACATTATACTGTCCTCGTGGATATGACTCCTATTGTTTTGAACAACATAATATACAACATGGTACACAAACATGATATTCTTATTGTCATCTTTTGGCTTTATGGTTTGAGAACAAACAATAATACTAAAAAGAGAGAGGGGCATCTCACTTGTCAAACACCCGAGAAATGAGTCCTCCAGAGATTGCTGCTAAAAAAACAACAGTCCTTCATTTCCCCACTAGGTGTCTCTAGATTTGTATGTATTGTATCTTTTTGTAGTCTTGATTGACAAGTGTTGTGTTGAAAAGGGTTTTAATGTGACTGGGATTGTTTGGATTGTAGTAGCTCCCAGTATGAACTGGGTAGTATATTTACATATCTATCATGCCCAAATAACATGTTGATAATATTCTGAAATGATCTCTTTGATGTCTGTTTATTCTTGTTTCAGGATTCTATCAGAAGAAGGGAGAAATTCAAAAGTCTCTGAAGCTAGTCCAGAGGATGGAGTTGTATGTCTGCCAGCACAGTCCCCAGAGAGTTTAGCTGAATGGCAAAGGATTGCAGAGTATTATATAGACAGACCAAGGATGGTACTTTTAGGAAGACAGGTAAGGAAATAAGAAATATACTTGCCTGATGGTGTATATAGAAATAATGGCTATTTAATTAAATTCAGTTCAGTTAAAAAAATGCTAAAAGTTTTAAATCTGCATGTTTTATGTGGTTTATTATATCTATCTGGCCTTTTGCTTCAATGCACTTCAATAAACAGTATTAAATGTGTGACACTCTTTTGTTCTCTTTGTTCTGTTAAATCAACTTTCTGCTGTTCTTACATTTACACGCATTTTTAAATGTATTTGTTTCCTTAGGCTTCCATGTACACAAATGAGTCAAGAATGCTTTGGCACCTAGCACCTCCAAAGTTCACTTTTGCACCTTCGTTCGTGCAGGACAAGTTATTTCCAAAGTACCAGGTACTCTGCAATTCTTATAGATTTTAGATTTAGCTTTAGCATAATATCTTAAGTTTGACTTTAAGAGACATGCAGCGTATTAATTTTGTAAAGGAAACACAGCTGGTTTTCACCTTAATAATCAATTGTTTTCAGCTGCACAGTGAAATAACGATATAAGTGAGAGCTAGCTGCTAAGAAATGTCAGACTACATTCACTGAAATATACCGCCTGTAATTCATAGGGTGTTGTGCCCAAGCCAAAACCTGCTGTTCCCCCCCTTTGAACTACAACTTTCCTGAAGCAAATTCTTATTTATTGTGGCTTCTTTGCAGGAAACAAGAAACACTGTACTGAGCGAAGAGCTCTGTTGTGACCTGCAAGACAGGATTGAAACAGACTACAGCCTTTTGAATGTGGAACATAGAGCTTCAATGGTCTGTGTATTATGGATCTTATTTAGTTTCATTAGTTTTTAATTTAGATGTATAGAGGTAACACTTGAAGTAAGCTGTTGACATTTTTATTGATAAAAGAATAGTACATTTATTTACTCCAGAAGACATATGACTTATGTGCTAGTACAGACTTAGTCTTTGTACAAATTGCTCCATCAGATTTTACTGTTAGTGATTTAGAGAACTGAGCACATTCTGACCTGAAGTATTGTAGGTACTGTAAATTAACCAGCTAATGGATCAGATGAATGGCACAGTCTTAAGTGCACCAGTTTAAAGCACAATAATCATATACACTTCATTTTGTCTCCCATGAAATCTGTTTTCTTTAAGCAGTTTAAAAACTATTATTATTATATCTTCTTTTACCAATAGGAGAATACTTTATTCCGAAGTTGCAGATCCATGGTGAATTTAAGTTCAGCTGAAGAAACCTCTCTGCCTCTTTTACTGGATAGTGGTTCTAAGGTATAGTAGGATATTCATTAGCTATGTTTTATCATTTTTACAACATGGGAGGGTAGGAAGGAGTAGGGTATTAGAATTTAAGAGAGCACATTGATCAGATTGTGAAGCAATCACAAAATGATTGCCATATGCTGGTTGTGAGCAATCGCCTTTGTGTAACAATCACATATGATATGTATATAACAGTTATATAAAATTATATATGATTATACATAATATGTCTTTCATATAACAATACATATTTAAATTGTAGCCTTTAAAAATATGTATTTATTATTACCAATAAAGCAAACACCAGATGGAAAAGGAACCTTTAAGTCTTACATTGTTCTTGCTCCCTTTTATGCAGACTGTAATGAAAAGGTCAGAGTCGGCTCCCAATCTTTCTACAGGACCAGAAACACTTTTGAAGGTGGCCGCTGATTTTAAAGCTGTCACAAAGGAACTGGAGGCTGTAAAGAGGCAGTTCGCTCAGTTTAAGACGGTGACCCCAGTAGAAACCTCAACAGTGCATGTTTTGAACGAAACGTTGTCAACACAGTTGGTCCAAGCAGATGTTCCAGATCCTGCCAGTGGTCAAGTCCTAGTTGTGCAAAGAAAGGAGAAGGAAGATCTCTCCCCATCTGATGCAGCACGGAAAGCAGGAATGAAATACATCATATATCCAAGGAAGAAGGCCAAAAAAGAAACTAAGAAGCTTAGCCCCGAAAAGCTAGGTTTTGTACAGGAGAAATTTAACCAACCTCCAAGGATGTTGTCAAGGTTCTGTCTTTTATGGATTTGTATGTGAGAAAGAGACTTTTAAATCGTGCATGCTGTATGAAGTCTCAACATAAAATACAGAAATGTATCTGTGATAAACAGAATGCTTCCTAATTTAATTTTTTTTGTACAGTATATCTGGAAGACTTTGGGATTTTCAGTGGTACTCACTAAGTTAAATTCTCTCATTCTTACATAAACACATATCTTCACATCTGCACTCTATAGCATTCATATATATAAAATATACATTGAAAATGATGATAATTCTATAAATAAATTCAGGATAAATATGGAGTTGACTGTATTGTCCACACCTTAAAATATGCCAGTGGAATAAAAAGTACGTACATATAGAGCTATGCTCAGTGCCTTTCCAAAGTTTGCTTGGAATTGAATAAATAAACAAAAACTATGCTCTCTTATTCCACTGTAAGGTTATGATTTGGGAGAAATAAACAATAACATGAATAAAATAACTTTATAGATACCCTGTCCCTGATTTGTCTTTTTTTGTCTGTTTTGTGATACAGGTCCGAGTCTTTGCCCAAGCTGCAGATGAGAACAGATCGCTCTTTAAGGGCACCTGAGAAGATCCGGCACTCTAGAAGACCCAGTCTTCCCCTGCAGCTGGATTTTGAAGAATTTGCTGAAGATCAAGGAGGAATCCCCAGGAACATCGTTCCTAGAGAGTGGGCGAGGAGTATTTGGAACACCTGGTTCGACGAAGTGTTTCCCCCACCTGAAGAACATCCCGGAGTGGATTACTTCAGGCCCGACTTGCTGGGTATAAAAAACCCCAACGACAAATCTCACGCTGACAGGGAAGTGCCAGTGCCAGAAGGAGTGGACCTCTCCTCTACCCTCGATGAGGCAGTCACTACTGCCGATTTACAGGTTGAAGTGGAGAGGCTCACACAGCTTATATCAGAGAAGGAACTATCTAGTGCCATCCATTTATGCCGACGAGGAGCTCTCAATAAAAAACTAGGTCATCTTAACCTTGCACTGGAAGATCTTAATACAGTAAGTATCTTCTCATGTTGGCTAAGGGTAAAATGTCATCCTTTTACATTGTTGATCATTGCTGATATAGTCATTGCTAAAGAACATTGTTATTCATTGGCTAATGTGAATAACAGGGGCACCATGCTGAAACAATATATATATTACTCATGCTATTGAGGCAAAACACACAGTTAAAGTGCTGTCAAAGTTATGATTTATCCAAAGAACCTGAAATATTTGGGTTAAAAAAATGTAGTTTTTGAAAAGTTGCTTTAAAAAAATGAACTGTATTTGGGCCAAATATTTTTATACATTATTTTTTTATAAGTTATTAGATTTAGATTCACAAAGATATTTAATAAAAGTAAGATTTAGTGTTTATTTTGAAATAATTACAAAATGCAATCAGTAGTAAAGGCTCCATAATCCCCCCTACTAGAATTAAGATGACAAAAATAAGTGTATAAAAAAGATAAAAATTGGTTTAATTTGTGTGTTTTCATAGGCAATAAGAATAGAGCCACATTTGCTTGATGCATACTGGCATAGGCATAGCATTCATTTGCTAAAGACTAACCTTGAAAAGGCCTTGGATGACCTGAATTTCATAATAAAGCACAATAAGACCCATGCAGGTAAGTTAATTGTTTCCACAAACTGTGTATGAAAATCTAGAAAACCGTGCAATCTTGTGTTCCATCAGTTATCTGCTAAACTGGCCTGATATGAATATATGCAGTTGTCTAGCTCCTGTAAAAATACAATATATGTACACAGTAAGTAAATTAATCCATTATCAGAAAACAGCATCTGTGTCAGGGCGAATGTCACAGGAAACTGGAGTGTATCTCAGAGGCAGAGGGCCCAAAGTGGAACTGAGAGAACATCACTGCTCTTGACCTGGACTCTATTGCAGATAAAGAGGCGATTTTCAATAGCTAGTCAAACCTAACTGGCATGTCTTCAGGAGGTGAGAGGCAAACAGCGCACCTGCACAAACTTCACAGAATCATAGAGAGAACATACAAACTCATCATATGAACTCTACATACAAAATATATGTTTTATAAGAAATAATAAATTGCTTAACCCGTGATGCTATCAGTCCTTCTTTGTTTTATCTGAGTTTCAATTTTAGTGTTCATATCCAGACTTTCAATTCCAATTGATCTTTTTCTTGCTGCAGTATGTATTATTCATTGTGTTCCAGATGCCTATAAATCAAAGGCAGAAATTTATCGAAAGAAAGGAGACAGTACATTGGCCATAATAAATTACACTCAGGCAATTAAATGCAGACCAGAAGACGACGAGAACTATTTTCGGAGGGCTGAGATGTATGAAAAGAGAAACGAAATTTTACTAGCAATGGAAGATTATGTGAAGGTTAGTGAATTCGTATTTTATCATGAGTGTAACAAACCACCTTTTTAAAACCACTGTCATTCAGTGAGTCATACACTGTATTTGAAAAGGAAGAAAGAGGGAGAGAATATTGGCAATATTTAGCACACCGGGATAAACAGATCTAGTTTTTAAAGGAGAAGTATTTAAATGCAGGTAAAGAAAAGAGTAACCATGGGAACAATACATTTCAAAGAAGGTATGTTTATTTAACAAGACAACCATTTTTAGAAACCTGTTTGGAATAATTTTTATTGTTTGTTCAATACTTCAGACCTTCACCATCAATCCCAGAAGGACAGATGCTTTGATGATTCATGGCTTGCATTACTTTCGCACTTCAAACTGGGTGGTAGCTCTTTCTGATTTCACAGCCCTGCTCCAGCAGGAGCCTAACAACGCCCAAGCTAGGTAAGGCAAACGTCCTCACAAATCAAAACATTAAAAAAAAACTTTTTTACTGTTACTGGTTGTTGCTACATCCTTGCATGAAGTTATCCAGAATACATTGATGTTGCACATAATGACGGGTGGCATAAATCAGTTTTCTGATTTGTTTCTCGTCACGTCATCAAACATGTTTGCCCAGGCGTGATATAATACATGGGAAATACGTTTTTGTCTGATGGGAAAATTATTTATGTCAGTTTTTTTGTCTGTTTTGTTATACTGTAATAACATCCATATATGAGGCTGATTGGTTGAATTAAAAAATATTTTAGGACCTACCGGGGGAGAATATATGCCAAGTTGTGCCAATACCGAGAAGCCATAGAAGATTTGTCTGCAGCAGCTCATCTGGACCCCAGCAACTGGGTGGCCTTCTACTACAGAGGCTGCTTGCTGAGGAAGATCCACCCTGAGATGGCACTGAGGGACCTCAGTGTCTCTGGTATGGAGGAGTGTGTAAAGGGTTCAAATGGAGTAAAAGGCAGATGTGCTGCACATGTGAAAAAACAGTGGACAAGCCAAATTAAATGCTTGCCAAAAGTTTCAAATCTGGCATTTTGTGTTGCTGTGATTAGTTTAGATCAGGCTGAACTGGCTCTTTCAGCTATCTTCTGGAACTTTGTTTACCAGTATTTTAGCATAAATGTTCCCTTTGGTTTCCTATTATTTTAAAATGCAGTGAACCATTGGAATGCCTGGGTGTATTCTAGTAACATTTCTTAATAACTTTTAACTTAAAACTTTTGTTTAAGAAAATAAAGCTTTTCAAAAATTACAAGTTAGGAGCTTTCAGCTCAGAATCAGTCATTTACCAATTTAAGTTACTAATTAATGACATGGGAAGACAGCATAACCCCAGAAAAATACAAAGTTGAAATTTCACTCTTAAACTGTCTTAAAAATGGCCGCATAAGGTCTCCACTTCCTTCAAACCTTACTTCCTGGCGAATTATTGATGTTTTTTTTTTTTACTTTTCCAGTTCTGATCAACGACAGCTTTGAAAACCTCGGTGCTCTCCTCCACCGTGGGATTCTTTACACAGATTACAGTCAGTGGGCTCAGGCTATTTGTGACTTTGAACATGTGCTGAGGCTTGACAGGTACCTGAACAATATTTTCCATGTCTCTTTTCAATAAGTTCTAAATCTGACTTTGCATAGTCCATTTCATGAGCAGCCCACTGGTCAACAAAGAATTCAAACAATGTAATCTGAAGAGATTTAAGAAACTCTAAAACTCTCCACGTACTGTACATAAAAACTTCTCACTGGGCTCCTGGGTAGGATTTTCACATTGCTGAAATTAGGAAGTGAATGTAAGATAGTTCTTAGGTGTGTTACAAAAAAACTGACAGCCGCAAAAAGAAATCTGTAGGAAAGAACTGTTGCCAAGCGATCTTGAGAATGAACATTTCTGTGAAAGCTGGGGTCTGGAGCAGTGAGAATACATGTTTTCATTAAGGATCCAGACAGCATTCAATATGAGGCGTATTCAACAGAAAGTGGGTTTGAGCAGTATCAAAGAGTCACATTAGTCCACTTGGAACAATATAATATAACTTCAAAATACAATTTTAATAAGCTATCTAGATTCATGTGAATTTAAAAGGTGATTATTCCAAATTGGAAAATTTCCTTTCTTACATTATATTATTTCACATTCAGGATTTTGCATTTCACAGATAAATACATAGATTTTTCTTCATTATAATATGGTTTTCAGAACATTGGACAAGTACGTTGGGGGAAAACAATTTCATCTGCAGCAGTTTTTCTCTTCTTTCCATACGATAGGTACTTTGAAGGATTTTGGACCCCTGCTGTCTACTTGCTGCAGCTGTGTTTGAATCATATTGTATTTTTATAAGCTTGGCTGTGCTTTTTATATGCTTCATAAATAATTAATTACACTCCACCATAAAGACGTCTAGCACTAAAGAAACCTTATGTGCTGCTCAGACATCCTTCACATTTCTTTTTTTAATACAAGATAAAAAATACACTAACAATGTAATGAGTCAGTGCACTTCCCGTAAGACTGAAGAATTGTATCAGTTCCATTAGTGTAAAGTAAAGGCCCATTTTCACTTAAAGTGCTGGTGCTAAAAACCTAGCAACAAACAAAGACTTTCTGAATTGGAAATTTCCACACAGAGGTTTTATTTGTCTAAGCTACTCAACTATATGACATGGCAAAAATGTTTATATTAAATATTATATATAAAATATTCTTGGGCACTATCTTTACTATAATTCTTTATGTTGGGTAATGTTAATAAAATTAAGAATTGCTCCGGACGATGTGTTTTTTAAATATTTGAAAGAAATATTTTTAATGTAGAATGTGTCACCCTTTTACTATTTGAAATAATGTGATCATTTCTCCACTTGGAGATATTAGGCTGTTGTAGGCGGTGTAGTTGGTGTGTTGCAGTTAGTTCACAGCTAGACAACATGCACCACTAAAGCAGGTGAAAATCCTCATCACCTGAAGTCTGCTCTTTTTCCAGGGCTTTTTATATAATCTGGAGAACAGAGAAAACTGATGAACCAGCACATGCTAACATTCCCTATGCCTTAGGAACAGGATGATGATAACAATAAGAAATTTCACTCATATGGCACTTTTCATTGCAAAGGATGCCAAAAATCTCTCTTACATATAAGAGGGGACCAACTCCATCCATTACTCAAGCAACATGTGTGCAGCCATTATGCACCAGTACCCCACTACATAGCATATCAGCTGGTGTGGTGAGAAATTACTTTCCCTGAATTAAATTCACCCCCTGAGATAAAGGGGAACTACAGTATATTTGCCATATTGTACAAACCCAGAGTGGAATTCATTCAGGATACCAGGGTTGACACTGCATATCTGACCAATAGTATCAAGGGGATGTTTAATAACCAGATAGTCTGGACCTCAGTTTAATGTCTCATCAATAGTACCTCCAGTACAGTGTCCCCTTTGACCTTTCCTGGGGTATGGTTAGGAAATTGGTATCCAGAAGGAATATTGCCTCCTTCTGGTCCATTCACGACACCAAACTGGTTTTCTTTAGAGGTCTCCCATTCCAGTATTGGCCAATCCCCATTGTTACTTAGCTTCTGAGGTCTGAGGAGGTCTGAGGAGGTCACACTGTATAATGATGGTAATGCTGCTGTAATGCAGGGAATATTAACTAGGTATTTACATAGATAGTCACATATCTATATTGCTTTTCTTTGTTTTGGCCATATTAGTATTTTAATGTGTTACAGGCATAACTACTATATTTATTCAGGCTATATTCTAATATTGTTTAATTTCACCATTTCTGTTTCTAAGGCTGTTTCCTAACTTTTGTGTTTCTAGTTAATGGTAATCTACGCTGCTGTTTCACAGCTTCCTTGACTGAAACAATCATTCCAATTTTTTTATAACTAGATTTGTTCCTGTTGCACATGTAAACCTGGGACTTGTCTACATGCTGAAAATGGACCATCATTATGAGGCAATTCGGAGATTCACAAATGCCATAAAAGTGGATCCTACTTACATCAGAGCATATATTTGTAGAGCTCAAGCTTATCACAAGGTATTTTTTTATCACACTTGTTAAAAGTAGGCAGTGCTTTAGTCTACATTTTAACTGTTACTTTTTTATGGACTGCTTTGCTTTTACCTTTTAAATAGTGTCTCTGATAAATTATACGTTTATTAAGAAAATTAACCCCTAAAGCCTACACAAGCAAAACAAATGTGGTATTTTATTTCATGACACTTTTTCTAAATACATAATTTTTTAATTGAGAATAATGCATTTGATTGCCAAAATTACTGTTTGTTGAAAGGAACAGGTATGCATTGCAATATTTTAGCATGTAAGCATCATATCTATGGAATGAGGTTTAAAGAATGCTTGAATGAAAATGTGTATGTGTTTCTTAAATGGCCAGGTGCATGATATACAGAGAGCACTGAAAGACTTAACGCATGCTATCCATCTCCAGCCTGATGCACAGCATCTTTACATAATGAGGTAGGAAAAATGGACAAGCATTCGTACATGCCAAAAACACTCCAAAAACCATTCCAAATAAAGGAATTAACTTGAGATTTTTAACAATTGCCTTCAATTAAAAATCACAAGTTTAAAAATAAATTACAGTATGTTAGTCGTATTATCATTGGCTATCGTGATAATATTTTTGCAGTATGTTATTTTGGATAAAAACGTTCTTTCATACACATGTGTGTATCTGTATTCCAGGGGCCAGTATTTGTGTGACATGAAGGAATTTGAGCTGGCTAGTTTCTGTATCCAGTATGCTGCTGAAATGAATAAAGGTACAGGTGTATTGCAGTGTGTGAGCAGTCTCTGAAGAACCGATCTACCGTTAGAGGAATTTCACAAGCCAAACAAAAAAAGTATTGTTCAAGCTGCTTGTACTTACAAACAGTACTCGAATGGAAGTTTTGTTATTCATATATTTTCCTGATGCTTTAATCCAAAATGACCTACATTTCTGCAGCTGGGCCTCATGCTGAAGAAATCTGTAACTTGCTCAAAGGTACAATGGTTGTGCTCCACCCAGGAACTGGGCCCACAACGTTTTCAGTTCTCAGTCCAGAGCCTCCACTCACCGCTCTCCAGTTGCTCAGTGCCACTAGATGGCACTGTGGTGAAAGCTATAGGGTAGCTGAAATGAACTGTGGTTAGTTAATGAACCCCCTGTCTTTGACAACAGTGAAACGTTTTCTATGCCCTATACCTATACTGTAATACTTTAAATAAAGGCACTATATTAATCAATTAATCAACTAAAGAAAGACTAATACAGTACTTAAACAGTCACTTTATCACTTAAAGAGTCATTAAAATGTAATTGTAAAATTGTTTTTGCTTCAAAAGACATTTCATTAAAGAGTTTAAATGCACCTTCAATGCACTTCATGTGTGAGTGTTTGGCGCTATGCATTATGCATGAAAAAAGTTTTCTTTGCATTTCTTGGAAGCATACCTTCTAACTATGAACATAAGTTAAAAGTGAATTGATTTTCATGACAGGAGACCTTATTGATACAAAGAAGTGTGTGTACACATTAAACGCCTTAACACTTACATATTGTTATTTTGACATAATACTGAAAGATGGTCAATTTAAGAGTTTATATATGTATGGATATTTAAAAATATATATATATATTTTGGCTTAATATAAAACCGCAGAGAAAGAAATGTTAAACATATGTTTTGTGTTGTCACCAGCTATAGGCTCATGTCCTGTGCAGCAGGCAGCAGTCCACTCCTTCCTGGACAACAACACAAAAGCTATTGACTGTCTCGCCACAACCACAAAAACACGTCCCACCCCACCCATCTTCATCCTTCTTGGAAAAACACAGATGAAAGCCAAGAAATATAAGGTACATTAGCAATCTGTCTTTGTCTGTCTGTTCCTCTTTAATTATTTCCTACTTACTCCTCCTTTCTTTGTTGAAACACGGTAACAAAGCTTTCCTAAGATGAAGTTATGCACTAAAGTTTTTATAGTAAGGGTTCTTTGTCTGAAATACAATGAGCAAGAAAATCTGTTTCACATTGTAGATTAAAGAACACCGACCTCCATTCAATGAATGGATCCTCAGTTTGTTTTGTTTCAGAGTTTTTTGCCAAATTCAAGAACATATTTATATTTTATTGCAGGGTGGCCATAAAATCCTTGTTTTACTGTGCCTTTAGCACTGCTAATGCAACACATTGCTTAAACATCTCGTTTTTCTTGCTGCCCTGACGTAGCAGTGTTATACAAATTTATTTTATTAAGAGTGGCATACACTGTCGGATTTAGAAAGGCATACAGAAGCACGGGAAAATTTAAAGGTTCATCATATGTGTCTGCTGCATTGATCAAAGCTTTCTTGAGGTGTGTTTCTTTTACAACACATCAATCATCTTACCGCTTTGTGAAACTTGATTTCAATCATTGCTTTGCAGCTTGCACTTCAAAGTACCGTGTTGCTCTG